GATAGATAGATAGATAGATAGATAGATAGATAGATAGATAGATAGATAGATAGGCAGGCAGGCAGGCAGGCAGGCAGGCAGGCAGGCAGAAACAGACAGACAAACTTTCCTGGTTCTCAGACTAGAGAATTTCCTACCTGTCTTTGCTCTAAGTACTATCTAAACCAGTGATGGCTAACCTTTTCTACGTTGTGTGCCCAAAGTGTGCATGCATGCAATGTATGCACTGCTCCCCTGCACATGCTCAGACAACCCCCTGCATGTGCACTGTGCACCTCTGTGCATATGCGCACACCCCACACACACTGCATGCCTCCTCCCTCATGCCGCATGCCTCTGTGCATGCACGCGTGTCTCCCCTGCATGCGTCTCCCCACGCACATACACAGAAGAAGCCCAACAATCAGCAGGCTGGTGGGGGGGCATGCACATGCGCAGTGGGGCTCTTCTGGGCGACCTCTCACATGCCAGCAGAAATGGCTGTGTGTGCCATAGGTTTGCCATCATGGATCTCGACTAACTTTTCTGAGATAGACATTGTTGCCTACTCAGGTTTAATTCACTGTTAATATGCAATATATAGCTAGAGTAAGGCATCTTTTCTTTTTGATCATGTGTACCTCATGTTCATTGATAATTCATTGGCAGTTTATACTAATCAACTTGTTTTCATTTCCTCAGAGGCTCTTTTGTTCTTTGTTACTAGACTATTATTTACTATCCCTTCTATAAGCAAGTCCCCGTTTAAACAACTGTTCCATTTCTCAGTCATTTGCACAAGCTGAGTTCCATGTAGGTCAGCTGGCTCTTTTGCACATCCACAAACATCTAACCGCATGTAGTCCATTTCTAATATTTCGTACAGGTTGCAATCCAAGCTGAAATCGAAATATATATTTTTATCTCTAATTTTTCTACAGCAGAAATATACACAGCCAACCCCAGAGAATAGCTTTTGGTTAGATTCTCTTCCCTTCATTCTGTCTAACACAGAGCACAGTGTGGGTGTTTTGCTTTCAAAGGTGAAAGCAGGAAGAATCTTAGGACCTAAGAAGTAACTAAATTACAAAGGTAGCAAGACCACCGACAGCTGGGAAGGGGGACAAAAAATTTATGGGTTGCATAATGGCAACACAAATATGTTACAACTCATCAGTGTTCGGAATAACTTCCTCCCCTCCACAGTCAGTGTGACCTCATAGTGCACCCACTGAAAGAAAATTAAACACTCTCCTGCTTCCATGATTCATAGTTGCAAACTCTTAAGGATATTGTTGTTACAATAAATATTTGGATTTGATGCAAATCCTATTTTTACTTTTGGGGGTGTTCTTTTTTCACTTTAGTTTTTCCTTTATATTTTTTTTAAAGGTGGTCCAAGATATAAAGATCGGGAAATATGCCAGTATTAAATGAGAAACTGATTATATAAATGTTTTAATGGATGGCTTATGATGTATTATCTTTCTTTTGCCTTAGAGGAAACAGATGAAAATGGCACAGCCAAGTCACTCTTCAATGGGACATCTCTAGTGAGGGAGGATGGGCTTGCATCATGTACTCGACAGCCAGCAATTGGGACAGCTCCCAAAATAATCCGGAATTATGTGTACTCTAGGCCTCCCCCATGGTCAGACACATTGCCTGCCATATTTGTGATCACACCTACCTACACTCGACCAGTACAGAAGGCTGAGCTGACCCGACTGGCGAATACTTTCCTTCATGTACAGAACCTCCACTGGGTAGTGGTGGAAGACTCTCCTAGAAGAACCAACCTGGTGTCCAATCTACTGGAGAAAACAGGGATTCATTTTACTCACCTAAATATTGAGACTCCTAAGAGTCTGAAATTAGGTTTGTCCTGGATTTCATCTTACACTCCCAGGGGTACATTCCAGAGGAACCTTGGACTGCATTGGCTTAGGGAAAGTTTTAGCACCACACCAGCACCTGAAGGTGTAGTATACTTTGCAGATGATGATAATACCTATAGCCTGGAGCTATTTGAAGAGGTAGGTTATTCAAAGTTTTAATGACTTCACTTTTAACCCATGATTTAGGCAGATTAATGATTATATTCTCTCTCCTTCATTCTTTTGATATACAAAAGAAGGTATAGGTTAAGGAGTCATAGGGAGGTATATCAAGAAGGGATAAAGGTCAGTGGATATGTTCATGCTTTGCATATAAAATATCACAGTTTCAGTCTCTAGTATTTCACATTAAGGTTGGGAACATTTCTCAGTGAAACCCTGACTCGCTATTGCACTAAATGTAAATTAGCCCTTCCCAGACAGGTGTCCTATATTTGTGCTGGACAATTGCCAGAAATTCCAATCAATGTGATATCAGATGAGTGAAGATGAAATAGGTGATCAATTAACTGCCCATACAACCTACCAGTAATTATAGCTGGAGAGTGAGGGTTGCAATTATAATTATGGTTCTGAAATATGGATAGGAGTGTTTGGAAACAAATAAGATATTTAAAACCACACCTAATCCTGTTCCTGCATATCTCGCATCCATGTTGAAAATGCAGACAAAACTCTTTCAGGAAAAGGCCTTCAGAAGGGCAAGGCAGAAAGTAAAGCAGAAAATTTGACATGGAAAAGTAAAACTAAAAAGAAAATAATAAATGTATGATAATATGTAACTACTGCAAGGGTACATGTAGAAGAAGTCAGACAACCCAAAGGAGGGGCTCACAGTATATATAAAAAGATTAGAAGGACTCGTATTCATGTATTCTTGTTTTCTTTCTGACAAGCAGATGCGTTACACAAAGAAGGTATCTGTCTGGCCAGTTGCTTTTGTTGGTGGTCTCAGGTATGAATCCCCCAAAGTGAGTCCAGCAGGCAAAGTTGTTGGTTGGAAGACTGTGTTTGATCCTAACCGGCCTTTTGCCATTGACATGGCTGGCTTTGCCATCAGCATAAAACTGATTTTGGAGAAACCACAGGCCAGTTTCAAGTTGGATGGAGTGAAAGGAGGCTACCAAGAAACTAGTTTATTAAAGGATCTGGTGACAATGGATGGGCTAGAGCCGAAAGCTGCCAACTGCACAAAGGTTAGCAAAATTCGAGGGAGGGAAATCACAATAATTTCCCCTACCCAGTGGATCATTATTCCCATGTTTATGTTGTCAATTAGATAAATTATAATTACGTTTATGTTAATTATATAAGTATAATTATATGCACATACCAGAGGTGGTATTCAACAGATTCTGACCAGTTCTGGAGAACCGGTAGCAGAATTTTTGAGTAGTTCGGAGAACCAGTAGCGGAAATTTGGAGAACTGGCCAATATCATCTCTGACTGGTCCCACCATCTATTCTCTGCCTCCCAAGTCCAAGCTGATCGGCTGGGTCTTCTTTTGTTGGCCTGCATAGGAGAACGGATCTTGGAAGTAGGTTAGTGGGGTGGGGAGAGAATGGGATTTTGTAGTAATCTTCCCCTGCCATGCCCACCAAGCAACGCCATGCCCACTAAGCCACACCCACCAAGCCACGTCCACAGAACCAGTAGTAAAAAAAATTTGAATCCCACCACTGGCACATACCTAATGTCCAGATCTAGAGATATTAAAACATTGCAGCTAGGGTCTTATATAAACAAAAACATATACCTTAATACATGAACATGAAAACAGGTGCAAAAATCCAAATGACTTGGCTGCTATCTAAAGGTCATGTGAGAGCCAGTTTTGGGTATTGGTTAAGGCTGGAAGACCATTGATTCTAGTTCCACTTTAGACATAAAGACAACTGGCTGACCTTGGACCAGGCATTTTTCCACTCGGTCTTAGGAAGTTTTTCCATTTTGAAAAAGTTTGCCAAGAAAACTACAGGGATTTCTCCAGGCACTTTCTGAGTAAAGAAGACAATTGAATAAAAAGCAGGGGAGAAAGACCATGAAGATTTTTGCAACCCCCACCAGGTTGCCCTTCCATGGAGACATTGGCAGATTTTTTAAAAAAAAGATGGATACAGGTGATCAATTATTGCAGTAGAAATACTGTATTCTAGATTCAGAACAAATATCTTTCTGTACATTTCTAAATTGGCTTTTTTTGCAAATGACACACAAGTAGTTAGGAACCAGCTCTCCACCAGTTTCCACGCTTCTCCTTATCCCCATTTGTGCCTCTCATCCTCTATTTCAACTAGCCATTCTTGCCTATTTTGAATGTACTGTAGGCACATTCCCCTCCTCGTTCAGTTTATTTCTAGCATTTGCGGGAATAAATATTTTGTTGTTTTTATAGGATACTGCTGTATCTATAATGAGTCTAAAAATAAACCAGGTAAATATGTGATTATGTAAATATACCCTTCCAAGAAGACTTTCAATTTCTTTTGAGTCCTATTCCGAGATTTCATATGCATAAATATATGTGTACTTATGCACTAGGCAGGTTTCCTGATACCTATTGCCTGTTGTATAATTTTAATATCTAAAATTTAATATTTAATATTAAATTTTCTTGATAGGTTTTGGTCTGGCACACAAGGACTGAAAGGCCAACACTAGTTAATGAAGGCAAACGTGGATTCACAGACCTAAGGGTAGAAGTGTAGATAACTTGTTTTTTGCTGTAAGTATAAGATTTTTGCTGTCTCAAGATTTTCCTATTATTTGCAAGTAGCTCTTCAATGTAGTGTTCATTTAATATGCATGAGGATGAGCTCTTTGGTAAGTGTATGAATGGTTTACTGTCTCAATTTATCAGTCCTGGTCTGCCTGTGATGCAATCTGAAATGTACTTTTGAATCCCATTCTTAAAATAAGAATTCAGGCCCAGGCATGGGGTTCCTTGATTAGGGCACTGTTTTCTGACTGATTGTTTGGTGCTAATACCTGCTTATCTAGGTCTAAGAGATACTCTGGAGAAGAGTATTATAGCCTTTCTGTTTCCTTCTTGGCTTTTTTATTGCTTCTTTTTAATATTGTGTAAGAAGGATTGTTTCTATGTGTCTATTCATTTGTCTGAATGTCAAGCTTCCAGGAATTTCCTTGCAGTTTTGAATGTATCTTGGTCTAAGAGTTACCAAGAGTCCTCAAACTGCAGCAGATATAAATCCAGTAAAAAATAGATTAAGCAGGCAGCTATAATCAATCATTTTTATTGCTTAAAATAATTTAGGGGAGTTATGTGGATGCCAGAGGCTATCTAGAAAATAAAAATTAGCCCCTGCCTTACTTCACTTCATGCATGTTCACATTTTAAATAACTTAATAAATATAATGTTTTTAAAAATTGCATAATTTGGAGCGTGGAGTCTGCTAGGCATATAAGAGGACCTCATTTGGAGATCTAGTGTTTTTCTCATCATCAAGTTGTCCACAACATACTTTAAAATACATTGAAGAGTACCAAAATATTTATTTTATTTATTTTTTATCTGTCAGTTGCTTACAAGATAATAGATATAAGTAAAAACATAATTATGAATACATGGATACATATAAGAAAAATAAAAATATATATAAAAGAAACAATAGGACAGGGACAGTAGGCACTTTGGTGTGCTTATGCACACCCACTACAGACCTCTTAGGAAAGGGGTGAGGTCAATAGTAGACAGTCTAAGGTTAAAGTTTTGGGGGGTTTGGGGAAAAAAAACCACAGAGTCAGGTAGAGTATTCCAGTCATTGACCACTCTGTTGCTGAAGTCGTATTTCCTGCAATCAAGTTTGGTGCGATTAACCTTGAGTTTGTATCTATTGTTTGCTCTTGTGTTGTTATGGTTGAAGCTGAAGTATTCATTGACAGGTAGGACATTGCAAAGTATGGTTTTATATACTAAGATCGGACTGAAGGCGGTGTAGTTCTAGGATTTCTAGGTCTAGAATTCCGAGTGATGGCATAAGATATTCTGCAACGAGTAGAGGAGTGGAGAACTCTTCTTGTGAAATATTTCTGGACTTTCTCAACTGTGCTAATATCAGATACGTAATGTGGGTTCCAGACTGATGAGCTGTATTCGAGTATTGGTCTAGCAAATGTTTTGTATGCTCTAGTTATTAGTGTAATATTGCCAGAGAAAAAGCTACGTAAGATTAGGTTAACAACTCTTAATGCCTTTTTGGCTCTGTAGTTACAGTGGGCTCTAGCACTTAGGTCATTTTAGATGAGTACTCCAAGATCCTTGACAGAGTTTGGATCATCAACAAGGTCTTGACTATTCAGCTTGTATTTTATTTTTTGATTTTTTTTGCCAATATGTAAGACAGAGCATTTATTTGTTGAGATTTGAAGCTGCCATTTGTTTGACCATTCTGATACATAGTCAAGGTCTTTTTGAAGGGTAGCAGTATTGTCTGTGGTGTCGAATAGCTTTACATCATCAGTGAAGAGAACACAGTTGCTCTTGATATGATCACACAGGTCATTTATGTAGAGTATGAAAAGAGTTGGTCCTAGAGTGGAGCCTTGGGGGACACCACTGTTGACAGGTAAAGAATTTGATAGGATGCTTCCAATTTGATGCTTCCAATTTTGACCATTTGTTGTCTGTTTGACAGGAATGCTTCTATCTAGTTATGCAGGTGTCCAGAGATCCCGTAAGATTTTAGTTTTAGTAGTAGTTTGTCATGTACCACTGAATCAAAGGCTTTACAGAAGTCTATATAGATTGCGTCTATTGCTTTTCCCTGATCGAGTTGTGTAATCCATATGTTTTTGCAGTGTAAGAATTGCAGATTACATGATAGTTTTTTTCCTAAAACCAAATTGTTTATTAGAGAGTAGGTTGTTTGTTTCTAAGTGGAGGATGATGGATTGGTTAATAATTGATTCCATGACTTTACAGGTGATGCAGCATAAAGAGATTGGTCTGTAATTTTCAACTAGGTTGGGGTCTCCCCTTTTGAAGATGGGGATGACCGTGGCTTGTGACCATAGTTTTTAGAGGTTCAGCTATGGCAGTGGGTAGTTTTTTTAAGAAGTAGGCACATATTCTGTCCGGTCCAATAGATAGAGATGCTTTTAGATTGCAAAGTGCTTTTTCAACATTGTCTTCTGTAAAATCGATATGTATTAGATCATTTTAGTCGTCTGTGGTTCGACTAGGAAATACTGGGCATGATCCATTACTGTTTACAAATACTGAGCCAAAGAATGTGTTGAAGAGGTTGGCTTTAATAGTGTCATCGTTGCAGTCTTTACCATTAGGTCCTTTCAGGGGTGGGATAGACCTTGAGTCCTTTAGTTTGTTGTTTACAAAATAGTAGCGTGGGTGGAATTGGTGCACAGAAGGTTTTCCTCTTGTTTAATGTGATAATTGGTACATTCAGTTTTTATCTGGTGGCATAAATTTTTGTATCGGCTTTTGATGTTGGCAACTTCACCAGATTTGTTTTTCCATCAAAGTGATTTCTTTTTGGATTGAAGCTTCCTTATTGTTTTGGATAATTTGTTTTTTTCTGGTTTTGGGAGTTGTTAATGGTACGTATAGTTTGATGACTCTTTTGACTTCAAGTAAAAATATGTTGTAATGGTCTTCTGCAGTATTGCATCCAGAGAATAGAAATTGCCAATCAAGGGATGAGAGATCATTGTTTATAAGATCATAATTGCCTTTTTTGAGGTTATAATTGGGGATTCTATCATTGTGATGATTTTTGTGTGGACATATGTTGAGACAAAAGTCAATCATGTTGTGGTTACTGTTGGAAAAGGGTTCTTTAATTTGTATTCCGTAAATTGAATTCAAACTATTGCAGAAGATGAGATCGAGGCAGTTGTTAAATCTAGTGTTGTTGGTTACTAGTTGTTCTAGTCCCAGATTTGTTATTGCATTGTAGAAGGTTGCATGTGTGGGTTCAGTTGTACATTCGTTAAGGGTCCAGTTAATATGAGGTAGATTGAAGTCACCAAGAAAGATAAAAGCGTGTGGGCAGGATGCTGCCCATGTTAGTAGTGTATTTAGCTTGTTTCCATGTTCAATGTCATATTCAGGGGCTCTGTAACATAGTAAGAACCAAAATGTGATATTTAAGGACAGTTCACAGACAATGGTCTCAGGAAGAGCAAGCTCCTGGGTAACTTGGATGGTTTTTAGATGTAGGGACTTTTTAGAGAAGATAGCAACACCACCTCCTCTACAGATTTCACGATCTGATCGGTAAACATGATAGTCTCTTACTGTGATAATGGAGTCAGGGAGAGATGCATGAGCCATGTTTCACGGACAAATATAATGTTGAATTTAGCCGTATTTAGTAAGAGGAGAAATTCAGGTATTTTATTTACGAGGCTTCTTGCATTGAGTAGCAGTTCACAGCTTGTTGCTATATGCCTTTCTTCAATTACTTTATAAATAGGCCTCTGAATTAAAAATTTGAGTGTCTTTTTTTTTCTTCCTAGTGTTTTTCCTGCAAATGTAGAGTCCATTTGTGTTGATGCATTGGTTGCAACAGGAATTGATAGGCTCATTACCTGAGCCTGGTATCATGGTCTGAGAGAGAGAGAGACAGAAAGAAACAGGCCCAAAATAATCCAGCTGGCTTTCATGTCTAAGAAAATACTAGAACTCATGGTTTCCTAGTTTCTAGCCACCACACCAAAATAGCTAATAGAGATACTTAAAATATTAAGAACAAGGGCTAGCTAATGTAGAGTCAGAATAGTTTCCCATCATCCCTTGGTTAATCTAGTTCACAGTATGTGCTACCCAGTTTTTCTTGTAGCTCTTTATATCCCCTAACACAAAGAATCAATGTAGGGGCCCTAAAGTAAAAAAGGCGGTTGTTTGATTTCATTTAATAGTTAAACCTGTCTAAAACCAAGAATTTTAAACCACTTACGTCTAACAAGACAACATAAGTGGTCTTTTGTTTTCCAGAACATGAGATTTATTTATTTTTTAAAAAAAATAATTAAAAGAGGATTTGTGAAGAAAACCTGTATTTCAGTCTTTGAAAACTGAACTGATAAAGCTCTGTTAATCTATATATTGCCAGGTTTGTTCTTCTTGGACAGTCTCACTGCTTGAAGAAAGTAATTGATTATGAAGCTGAGCCTGACTCAGCACAATCTCAATGTTACAAAAAGGATATATTGCAAGCTTTAGGAATAATTTTAAAAGAACCAGGGAGAAGTATTGGCTGGCAGCTCTAAAAACTAAGATGGCTCTCTGTCAAGATTTCAGGGATTGAGGCTTCTGCTCTAGTTAATTACAGTAGGTATTGGTAATGCAATGTTCAAATTCCTGTGCAAAATAAAAATGGGCTGTGTATTCGTCTGTTTATCATGAGCTTAGAATAAAGAATGAAATTAGGTAAAATAATTCATATTAGATGCCAGACATGGAACATACCAGATAGTCTTTAATCAAATGAAACTACTCAATCATTCAGCCCAGAATTATATATTCTTGTTAGCATCGTTAACAATGACTCCCTGGTTGAATGTGTACTTATTACCTGTTGTTTTTAAATTCAATGTTAAAGAAAGTGCCTGAATTGTCTACATACAAATTACATCCTGATCTATTGAGCTATGACTCTTCCATGAAGAGATTTGACATGAGTTTAGTTCCTTTCCTGAAGACTAGGAAGACAAAAGTAAGAGAACTTGGACATTATGCTGAGCTTTAGAAGGGAACACTAATTTTCTACTAGCATTATATGTTTGATATAACATCTCATTTGGTCCTGACTCAACTCAATGTCTTTGTGACTTGAAGTTATTGAGATGTAATGTGTAGATTAATTCCCCCCCTCCCCCAATGGTGGGACAGGGGAATTTTTAAAATTGAACAGCTTCAGGTTTGACTGTTGTTTCTTAAACTAGAACTGGCACACAAGACTGTTTAATATCATCCAGCAGATTGATGAGCAAGAAATTGGATGGATGATTTCTATCTCCCATGGTACAATTTCTTAAGAAGAAAACTCCTCAGAGTAATGAGAGTTGGCACCACTTCTAAAAAAGCTCAGTGGAAGAATTCCTTCATTATGTTTTTACCTGTACTATCATCTTTCTTCAGCAGTTTGAAGCCAACATGTCTACAGACTGCTAGAAAGGGGATTATAGAGTAAAAACAGAACATTCACTCCTGGCACTTGATTACTTCATACCTTAACAAATGCCAGAAATGCAAAAACACCATGCATCAGCAATGCAGATTTCTCCTTACCATTAAAATAATTTGTAAAACGAAGTCTCATTAATCAACTGAGAAAAAAATAGAATAGGTTTTTCTGCCTGGTACCACATAAAACAACTTGGATTATTAGCACCTGTCCTTTGAGGCTGTTTTCTCAGCACCTAAACACTGCATAGATGCTTCCTGGGAAATATCTTTCTCTCACTCTTTTTTTTTTTTGGCTTGCCTGAGGGGAAGAAAACTGGTTAATTATAGGAACAACAACTCTTATGAAAATCTATTCATAACTGAGCCTTGAAACAAAAACTAAATAAAACTTTCATTGCTGGGGATGTTCTCTTGTCTCCAGAAGCCAAAGTAGAAATGGTCATGGATGCACATAGTTCCATGGACAGATGGGAGAGAGCAACCCTGCAATCCTAGAGTTGTGTACGTCACTAACTTCCCTCAAGCTCTTCCTACATTTGAACCAGAATATTCATATTGGAAATTTCAATATATTTTCTAATGCAAAGCAGCTCTTCCCTGTAAGATCAGTTTGATCTTCCACCAGATTGCCAAAATGAGAGAATGATACCACAATCAATGTGTATCTTGTGAATGTATGTTCTCAATAATGGCTAATTCCATCTCCATCCTTCTTCTTACACATTTTCCCGTGTCCTTAACTGCCCCATGCACCTTAAGTAGAAAGGAAATTTCCTTATCTAACACTGAGTGAATTGTCTTTTTTCAGTGTTGATGCAGCAGAAATATTTCATATTTGGAGACACTCTGCATTTCAGAGGAAAAAAATGAGGCTCTAAAACAAACCAGAGTAAACTTCTTGAGCAAGGAGAAAGGGGTAGGGTACAGAGACTAAGCTTTCTGAGAAAGAAACAATCTGAATGTATCATATATTATCTGCTCCCAGAGTAACATGTAATTTCACTTTCTCAAGATTTCAATGTTGTTTCTGTTGCCATTATAAACTGCATTCAGCTAAAGGATGGTATCATTTTAATAACTCCTTCTTTATGATGGAATGTCAGAAATCCAGGATTATTGGATAGCTTTGGAGCAATGTCTCTCATTTCAATATGCTGACTGACAGTTTTGTTGTTTTGTTGCTCTGAACATGCTCTCCTTTTTGTGTTAGGAAGAGGTTAGTAGTTTGGGTTAAAACTACTGTTATAGTTTAAATCCTGGCATGAATTTATGTAGTTCTTTGTATTCCAAATTGTGCTGAATCTGTCCAAGAATATATTGTATACTTATATGTGCCCTTTAAAAATTCCCTTTCTTGTTGTTTACTTTGTAGATAGCAACTTCTTGCACACCTATCTATGATCAGCAGGATACTGATGCAACAATCAAGAATAACATCCATATTTGTATTGCATCCAGCTTCTAAGTTCTCTAAAATCAGGAATAAAGAAACAAAGTCAATGTCATATTCAAGGCCATTTATTCTATATTCTAGTCATTCACAACCAACTAAGAGGACCTGTTTCTTCATTGTTATTTCTGTGTTGGAATACTTTTTTGAAGAACATTTGAAGCATTTCTGTAAACATCGCATTTGGGATACTGTTAAGAAAAGCGTAGTTGGAATAAGGGGCAAAATTATTCTTTGCTAATCCACGTTCGAAGCTTTGTTTTGCAATATGTATTAAGACATCAGCTTTTGCAAATCTACTCCAAAGAATGGCAGTTCAAAATGAACTAGTTCCTGCCTACTGCCAATGAAATATTCCACACTATTGCAGGAAAGAGAGAGTCACTCTCAGAATTACCTACTTAAAACTTCTTTTAGACTTAGGAATTCTTGTTTGAAAGAATGTGGGTAGGCAATTCTTTCCTGGAAGACCATGAAGATGTCTACTGGAGAATGGGATATGCATCAGTTCCCTTTTTCATATCCAACCAAGATCAAATAGTTCCTCTTGAATCTGAATGATAAACTGAAGTAGCAAGTTTGAGAACTTCTGCATCAGCAACTCAGCATCATGTCCTGTGGCTATGTAGATAAATCTTTGTCATGAGAAATAGGAACAATAAGAAGCACTCGACTACTTAATTCTCTGTGGGCAATATATCAGACAGGAACTAGTTATGAGTTTACTTTTGGAACTAGGAAATCTCACATAATTAGTATTCCTTTGGTCCAATCTAGAAAGATTTTTCTTATTCTTTGTAGCTTTGTAAATATCTAGCATATTCTTAAATTGTCAATGCAGCTGCATGATGAATTTCAACTCTGTGTGGAATGATACAGACTCCAACCAAGCCATGCTTGGAGTGAATAGATAATGTTTACTGATACTGAGCCATGGACTCCTAGCTTAATAGATGTGATGAAAGCAAAAAAATTTAAAAAGTAATACTAAAAAGTGAACATTCACAAACAGTAGTAAAAGCCACTATCCCGATTCCTAACTTTTTAATTACAAATACATTCATCAATTGTAAGCATCAGTTGCAAACAGAAGTACTTATTAGCAATCAACAATCATATCTGTAGAATAGATAACAAAGTGTTGGTACGTCATCAGCAAGTGTGAATTCAAATGGGAAAGTGGGTGGGGATATATATGGGCCAAAATATAATGGCTGGTAAAAGCACAAAAAAAAGTTTTTTATTAAGGTGGGCTATGTTCACTTCAAAAAAAAAAACCCATACTTTTGATGTTTTGTGATTTGTTAAGTTCTTGCAACTGAAAAAACTGAAGGAGAACATTTTCTAGCAACTGAGCCAATTCTGAGTATGATTCTGAGATATGTCAGAACATGTCTTTATTTCTTGACTTATTTAACAGGTCTTTTCTGCCTATTGTATTTCATTTGTATTAACCTGGATTGTCTGCTATTTTTATGGAGAATATTTTTATTTCTCTTCCACCCTGTGTTCAACTGAAACTCAACAGGGAATTACATTTTTTCTACTCACTGCTGAAATGTCATATATATTCATGCTCACTGCATAACGTCAGGAAATGACTGGTGTCTTAAATTAGAAAAATAATTAGAAGCATAATAATGTGAAAAGTATATAATTTAAAGGAAAAGAGACTATGTGGGTGTTCAAGTTGACACAAACAGTTTGTCAAGAGCCTTTTAGTTCTCTTATCATCTACTTCTTTGAGGGAAACCAAGGATGTCTTTTTTTAATAGAACTCAGTGGCCAGTAGAATCCTCAGAAGCTTCTAAAAATATTATCTTTAAAAAATAGCTGAGGACTAACTATTAGATCCCACCTTGCACCTATTTATGTCGATAGTAAGAAAAAAAGTAAAGTAAAAAATAAATAAATACTGCCAAAAAGGAATTTGTTGGCCATTATCTTCTTCCGTGGTGTTTTGTTTTTTTATTTCTTCTTAGCATAAGATATCTTTATTTATTACTTAATAAAAATTGCTAAATGACATGTCAGATTTGCCTGAAGCAATATAACATGATAATGAGATATAAACTCCCAAAGAAAGGCAGACTTTTTAGCACCAAATTGAAGCTTCCAGAATAGGCCAAAAAATTCAATCTAGCCTATTAATGATATTAATACCTCACTTGCATGTGCCCAACATTCCATGGAAACAAATATATTTACTAAAATGTAGTATCAGAAGAAAGTTATTCACCAGTGATAAAATAATTATGATTTATTTGGTCTAATGGATCAGTCTGGTATACCCTTATTTTGGGGGGAGGGCTTTGGGTTTGCCTAAAGAGCCCAGATGTAGAAAGGGAGAGAGAGGACAATGTGAAGGGAGTGAGGTAAAAATGCCAAGTAGGCTAAGATTCATGGAAATCTTCCACTGAGCTACAGAGAAAATGGAGCAGAACTTGAAAACAGAGCTTTCAAACTTGCAGCTGGTTAAAAACATATCTCAAATTCCCAAAGTTCATTCCTGTCTTGCCTGCCTTTTGTGCATGTTGAATGATTGCTACAAAATGAAAAATAAGAACTGTGTGGCTGGAGACAAAAGTCTTTTCACTTCTATTACAACAAGGGTGCAAATGGAATTGGTGCAGTGAGCAGAAAGTTACTGGAATCCTGAGCTATGTGAAGTCTGACACAGAAGCCACTGAAGCAGTATTTAGAAGGGTGTTTGCAAAATTGCCTGAGAAATGTAATGTGAAAGAATTGAACTGTTTAAAAAGTACTGTACAGAAAAGCTCTGGTGTATGTCATAAGCCACTGTTTTGATCCCTGAATTTCATGAATTATTAATACACTATATTGTCAGAGAAAAAACATACCACAAAAAACCCACAATACCAATCAATACCAAAATAAGAAAGTGTCTTACTAAGTGTTACGAAGCCATTTTAATGCTTATTTATGTTGGCTATTGATAAATATAGTATGAAAATTTCACATGAAGATAACTGGTGTCCCGTATCTGTTTTTCTTGCTGCAGCCCCTTGCCCCATTTGGGTTCAATAAAGGAAATATGTTGGTATTTCTCATTTCCAATAGTTCCAAGAACAACTTATCACAAATAGTTTGTTGAAATACTGGAAATGTACTGACTGCATAATCATAAGACTTTTTACCATAATTTTAATTATAATTTATATTTTTATTGCATA